TAGGTGTGAATGTGAGTGTGCTTGGTTGTCTGTCTCTAAGTGTAGCCCTGTGATAGACTGGTTACCTGTCCAGGGTGTCCTCTGCCTTCACACTGAGACTCCAGCCCCCCACGACCCTAGTGAGGATTAAGCGGTGTATAGATAATGGATGGATGGATGGATATATATGTCCTTTATTCGTATATCTCTGAAAGTTGGGGTCAGAGCACAGGCTGAGCCACACTACGACGCCCCTGGACCAGATTAGGAGGACAAGGTTAAGAGTCTTGATCAGGTGCTGAAGCTTAAACCTTCGACCTTCAGTAGCTCAATGACTAAACCACTGATCCACCGCTACCCCACAACTAGAATGAGCAATTCCTGGAGAAATTGCAGGTGTAATTGCAGAACACTGCTGCAGCTTTCATTTGCTTGAGCTTGTCCAGTTCAACGTGTTCACCGAACCTGCAACCTCAGGATGAGAGGACGTCTCCTCTGTCAACGGAGCCACATTACTAGAATACGGCTCAACGGGTTTCCAGACATGACGTGTTAATTAGGCGGAGAATCGGTATCAGAGACAATATGGTCGGAATTGATAAAAGCTTCTAGCAGCTTGATTTAAATCCCAAACTCTGAACAAAGCCTTCTCTGCTGCAGCATCAGTTGCCATGGTGATCTCGCAGGTCAACCACCCTCCTGACACTGAAAGCTCTGGCTTCGGGCTCAGCAAACCTCTCTATCACATTAATCTTACCTAGTAGTCAAGCCCTCTGTCTCTTCCAGGATCTTTGCCTCACGTGTCTCCCTCCTTTATACCTCCTGCTACACTTTGGGAGGCATTTCTCACAGTTTAAAAACATCCAAATGACACCTACACACATTATTTGTTCCTTCTGTCGCTCTTCGTTCCGCTCATACAGCGACCCAAACATGCCCTACAGAGCAGCGTTGACATCTTCATTAGCTCAACGTAGCGGCTCTGATGTGACTTCTTCACTAGATGAGTCACAATTAAAGTTAAACACGGAGTAATCTGATTTCTGGAAAGCTTACCCCCTTTTCCGGATTTTCACAATCGCAGTCCTCAACAAATAATTAAATTAGTCACCTTGTCAAAACAGGCCCGACTTCAATTAAACGACGGTGTTCAAACATGTCGCGGAAGGTCACAGCGGAGGTCGGCTCTCGCAGCGCTTTTGTTTACAGACGTGACAACGCGTTGGCACGTCGTAGCGGCGAAAGCCGACACCTGTAGAGCAACTGTTGAACCACTCATGCCGAACCACTCGTCGCGGCAACACAAAGCGCAACACGGTGTTGAGTGAGCGAGTCAACAAAAGCAAGCGAGGGAAAACAGAGCCAAAGAGAGACTCGCTGCACTGAATCAGATAAATCCACATTACCTCCAAATACAGTTAACACCGGTAGTTTAAGTGAGTTTAATCGGCTTATGCAAAAAATACTGCCTATATAGTGCCCCCCCTAAACGTGACAAGCTGTTATACTGATAATATTGTGATTATACTGACTCATACAATCAAAGTTATCGTGCACCAAACCCGCTCAAAGCCTCAACCTGAGCAGCAGCAGCAGCAGCAGCAGCACCTCCACTTTATCTCCTCCTGCAGACTTCCTCCTGATCAACACACTCATGCAAATTAAGTGAGTCTACACATAAAGGCTGTCACTTGTAGTGCCAAATCGGAATCAGAATCTTTCTAAGCGATCTTTCTTGTTTTTCAGCTAACTGGGATGTACCCTGAGAGTACTCGTCAAATGCTTTAAATTGCCTCTTCTTAGACTTTGGGTCCAGTGGGAACTTCTTTTATAGAAAGCAGTGATAAGCAGATGGCTGGGGAGGCACTTGTCAAGGCTGATGTAGCAGAACAGCTTTTGAAAGCCTGTTTCAAGCACGACTCTCCTCTGCAGAAAAGTGGAAATACTGTTGACCTTTTGCTGCTTTAACCCTCCACATGTGCATATGAAAAGTTCTCATCCGAAACACGCAGACGCCGGTGGTTTCCGTCAGAGGTTTTTTTACGTGACGTGATGCCGACGCTCTACTCACCAAGCATGACCAGGGTGGTTGTGCCTTGTTCGTTTCCAGACGGGTAGGTGGCATACTCGCAGGTGTAGCGGCCGGCGTCGGACATCCGCAGGTTAGAGATCCTGATGGACGGGTTCTCCAGGCTGTTGTGGAGGAAAACAACTCGATCCTTGAAGGACAAGTTGGGGAAACTCTGTCCGTAGACTGGATGGTACACAGCTATGTTGTCCCTTTGGCCATCGACGGGTTCCCATATCCAAGATACCTGGTGGGAACAGAGTTTAGTACTTAGTATTTACACAATCTACTTTTTACATGTACACAATGACTATATGGGTATATATATATGTGTGTGTGTGTGTGTGTGTGTGTTTAAATATCAAAGATTAACCCTCTGAACACCAGAATACACCCACAGGTTTTAAAGGCACGTTGTTGTTTTCTGAAAAATTTACCACAGATTAGATTTGATTGCATTTTATGTTTCACCACCAATGGCAAAACTCACTTGTTGCAGCAGTATGGATACAGGAAAGAGCACAAAAAAGTGACGGGAAGAACACAAATAAACTATAAATAGGAAGAGCTGAGAAATGCAATACAGTAGAGCTACACACACACACACACACACACACACGATATACACAATAGATCCATATAATGGATACTGTGAATTAAAAAAATAAAAAAGATAAATAAAATGTGGCACAATGTGATAACTGTTGCACATAAGGTAGATATATTGCACACATGAAGGGGTATATTAACCAAACCTGGGTAAAAAATTGTATATTATACCAAGATGCAGTTTGGAGATAAGAAGTACTTCTAATAAATGCTCTTTTGCATTATTAATAGAGTATAAAGATGATGCCAAACTAAATCTTGCTGTATTTTTGTGCAATGACAATAAAGTTTCTTCTTCTAAAAGTCCTTGAACTTACCACATGTGACTTTTAATTTAATCAGAAAATAACCTAATTTAAGTCTAAGATCCTGATATTTCATCAAAATTACTTTATTCGACATGTCTCATTTACAAATTCAGCAAAAAATACATGTTTTGCACCAACCAGATTCTGTAAAAAGAAGAAAATTCTGCACTCTTCTGTTTAAATTAAAAGCCAGGACTGACTCTGCTGCAACCAGCAGTGACAAAACTTCAGGGACTTTTTGACTGAACTGGGTTGAACTGCAGGCAGTGTCTACACCGAGCAGACAGGAAACTTAAAATCATGAGATGTTGTTGTTTATTGAGTCGCGATGATGTGAAGATGATGAACAAATTCTCCGCTGATACCGTCTTGTTGGTAAATAAAAAAGTTTATTGAAACAAGTACAATATATCCGGTGCCTGTGAGATGATGAAGCCAAAAAGAATCACCCTCTAGAATAAACTTAACTTATATAGGGGCTGATCACGTAAAGCTAAGATGGAAACAATGGTTCATAACCATAGAAGGAGATCAGCAGATACCACAACGTCAGTACAATCATCGTTTTGTTTGTATTGTTAGCTTTAACCAGATTTTTTTTAAAAGTCCAAACCATGCATGTGACCAACAGTCCTGTGACAAAACCTCAAAAACTTTTCAGCTAAACTGAAGGCTTTGATCGCACAGAGCAGAGACAAGTATGGAAACAGCAGTAAAATATCTATATGGTAGATAGAGCCACCGTTTTTCCCCTCAGTATTGCTTTGGGCACTTGGAAACATTTTGTACATGTTGATTCAGACAAATTCAGCTTCTTATTATTATGAATTATGCCATTATAGTTTTTTCATACTGCACACAAGACATCCCTGAGTTCTTTCTACTACCAGCCGTCATTATGCCGTTTCCATTGAGGTGCAGGACTTTGTGTTGCAGTGAAAACTATTTGGATTTCAGAAGGTCAACTTTCAGCTCAGCCTCAACTAATAAGATATTTGAGCAGCTAGCAGCTTTTCTAAGAAAGATCATCTAAAAAGGGGGTTTTAAAGACGGACACCAGCGTGAAATCCAGCTGATGAATGAATCGTTAACAAAGGATCCCTCACTGGCTTCCCACACAACAATAAAGACAGTTTTTAAAAAATGTTAACATGTCAGTGTCGTTTTTTTTTTTTTTTTTTTTCATGAATCATCGCTGAAATAAGCAGTCTACACCATGGATGAGCATTTCAACCTTGAAGCTGCAGTTTACTGGTGACTGTCTGAAAAAAACACAGATTTTAAAAATAACTAAAGAACACCAGTAAGACAAGTTTGGGGATTATTTTAATGGAAAAACTTCTAAATATGTAACTCTGATACACAGAGAGGAGTTTTGTCCCCTAAAAAACCATCAAGCTTTGGCATGCAGACATTAAACTAATAACGCGGTGATGGATTGGGTTACGCTGTGGGCTCCAGTTCAGAGGTAAACCGACTCATTTCAGCTTAACTACTGGTGGTTCTGGTTTTCAGCGTCTCTACGGATGTACAGAGAACCATCGCTGGATCAGTTTGACACTGAAATAATGATTGTGGGGTTTTTATCTAAGAGGACTTCAAGACATTTAATTGCAACAGGCGGGAGAGGTAATGATCTCCACAGGAGTGCAAGTCACACTGAAGCTAAAAATATCGCACCTGTGTGTTCAGATTTCCCACCAAAAAATTGGTTACTCAAAGTTTTTTTTTTTAATTGCCTGCATGAGCCGCGTGTTGCAGCGACTGAAGCGTGTCAGTAAATGGACAAAACCAGCGGGACGGACGACGATAATGAACGTCCAGCGGCTTCGTCGTCTTTTTTCCGCATGTTTAATACGCTGATAGGTTGTTTATGGAATAATTAAACCGGAATGGACGTTATATATTTAAACGTGGTGTGATGTTTCCCTGAATGCGTACCTGCAGCGCCTGAAATTATTTTAACTTATAGCTGCAAAATGTCAAACTCAATTCAAGACGCCAAGAATCCATTTAGACGTGAGGCCTGTTCGACTCTCTCTCAAAGTCCCAGTTGCTATGTTAAAGAACATGATGTGAAAGAGAGCCGTCTTGCAGGCTTTTCCTTGTTAGACTTCTGATATGTGAGAGCTATTGATATTTGCTGCGGACTCCACCGCCAGGGAGAACGCTGCGATGCTATGCGAGGATCGATTTTATTTTTCCCTGCAATTTTCAAAGTGACAGCCAATACAAACTGCAAACCAGGAAGGAGAGGGAATAAAGTTCATCAATAAACATTTAGCAAACATCTACTCAATGCATGACACGCGGAGGAGAAGAAAAAAAAAAGAGAAGGAGGGAGGGCGGAGAGGGCGGCGGGTTGAGGAGAGGAAGACGGATTGCAACCCAGATGTCATCGCACATTAGAGGATGAAACTCGAGAAAATATCAGAGGGCAGCTTCGTCCGTCTGCAATTTCACTATTTGTGTGTGAAGGAATTAGCTAATGATTCCTCCCGGATCACTCAAGATCAAG